TCCATCAATAATCGGATCCGACCCACACTAAGTGTCCAAACTAGGATAAAAGACCTTTTTACCGTCTTCATAACTTGGCCCAAAGCCAAGGCCCAATCCAACAATCCAAAAGCCCAAATTCCCATTAATTATCCAAGGCCTAATTATGGCCCAATTTTCCAAATTGGGCCTAAACCCAAAACATTCCTAGTCCAAAAACACTTGAATTCTGATGGCCCAACAAGGCCCAAAGCAGCAAAGTCCAAAAATGGCCCAAACCGAAGATCCATTAATCTGAGGCCCAATTTGCCGAGTATGTGGGGCGTACTCAGCTCGTACACGCAGCGTACTCACCTTAGGGCTTGTATGCTAAGCGTACTTTCTTATACGCCCAGCGTACCCTTTCATACAGCCAACTTCCATTTTAAGCTCTTAATCCATAAAGACTTTACACCACAACCTATATCTGACTTCCTTGGACTGATTAATCACATAAAGTTACTAACTTTACATTCATGCATGGCTAAATGAAGCTCTTAAGCTTTAAAAGGACTTAATATGTAACTTAATGCATGCATGAGATCCAATACCTCATAAAGTTGGCACCTTTATGCATAAGGAACTCCGAATAAGCTCATATCCAAAAGAATAATTCCTTCAAATGCCTTATCCACACAACCAACCCAAAAAGGGACCAAAGACACAACAGATCAAGCCATAAAGAGACCTAAACATCTACAAGACAAGGTATAAACTTGATACCTCAAAAAGATTGCAACAAGTGAGATAATTCTAGATCTATGACCTTCCTTCCATGCAAAGCACCTTCAATATTTAAAGCTTCCTTCAAAAAGAGTAGAACAACCACAAAAATCATGTAACGCTTTATTCAGGAATCCTTTATTTCTCAACATTTTAGGATTTGGGACTGGAACTCAATGAGTTGGGGGCTCCAACTCGTCGTGTATGGATCGTTTTGGATGCGGGATTAAGACTCTACTCGATGATTTGAAAGGCCCTAACTCGACGAGTAGACCCTGGAAAGGAAAACCCTAATTTTTAGGGTTTGCACCCTATTTAAAGGCCTTTAGCTGCATTGTTAGCTTCCCTCATCATCCTCTCAGTCCATAGAAAGCCTAAATCGTTTCTCATCTCCCATTTTTGATTGTGTGTGAGTTAAAAGAGTATGTTTCCTTGGTATTTCTTGAAGGAGTTGAATTTGGTGGTGTATAGCTGAAAGGAGAAGCTTTAGATACGGGGATTTCTCAGTTGTGGCAGTTATTTATATTAAGGTATAAAGTCGATACCTTGACTATTCTTTTGCTAGATCTCATCCCTTGAAAGTTTATGGCCATTATTAACTTATTTTGGGACCATTCTTGGATTTGAGCATGTTATGACGATATGGCTGTAGATCTGGACATCTCATTACCTTTGTGGACTTAAAGTTGCCAACTTTATCAAGTCTTGGCCCTCCTTCATACTCTAAGTCCCTTGATAAGCTTTGTTTGAGAGTTTTAGCCCTTTGATGCCTTGCATGGGCATAAAGTTAGCAACTTTACGTGGCATCTTAACCCTAGGGGACTAGATCTGTAGTTTGGAGCTTCAGATTTGACTGAAAGGGGATGAATATGTTAAGAGTGGGAAATCTCAACGAGTTGCCCTAGCAACTCGACGAGTTGGATCGGGTTTCCCCTCCTTCTGGATACTAAGTGAACTCAGTGGGTTGATGAGATAACTCGGCGAGTTGGCTAGGGCTTTTCCCAGTTTTCTGAGCACTGAAGGAACTCGACGAGTTGCCAGATGCACTCGATGAGTTGGGTCAACATGGCCTGTTGACCTAGACTGTTGACTTTGACTTGGACCAGGATTGACCAAGTTTGACTTAAAGGGTATCACTGTTAATTCGGGGTTTTGTTGAAGTTAGTTGCAGGGTGGTTGTTGGCGGTTGAGCTCGAAGTCGTGAGTTAGGATTTGATTTTACTGGTTTAGGAATTCTTGAGAGGTGAGTATCCTCACCATACTAATGGGTCGAAGGCACCAAGGCTGACCCATTATGTGATATATGGATTGTTAGTGGATTACGTGTTATGTTGGTATGAAATTTGCATGGAAGACCCCGAGGGGTTCCTATGGCAGTAGATTAAGACCATGTGGGGGTTCCCATGGCATTTGGTGTAAGACCTTGGAGGGTTTCCATGGCATCCTAGTATGCTTGTATGTTTAGCTAACATGATATTTATTTGGTTAGCTAAGACCATGTAGGGGTTTCCATGGCAGTTAGTGAAGATCATGGGGGGGTTCCTATGGCAGGTAGTTAAGACCATGTGGGGGTTCCCATGGCAGTGGGTTAAGACCACGTGGGGGTTCCAGTGGCACCCGGTGTAAGATCGTGGAGGGTTTCCATAGCATCTTTATATGGTTGTATACATGGCTTATGTGGTACATGTAGCTAATATAGCTAATATGGGTTATGTAATTATATGGATTGTGTGGGGTATGCTCTAGGGGAACTCACTAAGCATTAGCTTACAGTTTGTTGGTTGTTTTAGGTACTTCAGGATCTAAGGGCAAGAGCCCGGCGTGATGGTGCGACATGCACCCTCCAATATTTTATTTGGGGACACTCTGATATTATGAATAAATTGTTTGATGTCATGGATTTTTTAAATCAAATATGATTGGAACTTTATATTTTATGGAAATGATTTAGTTACTTAAAAATGAAAATTTTTATTGGACATTTAGGTTGTTATAAATCATCTCAAGGACTTAAGAACACCACTAAGGAAGCTTAACGGACGATTTAGGGTTTTAGGAGGTTTGGAGGCTGGTAAAGAGGCCAGCCCTAAAGACTTAAGGTGCTTAAATAGGGTACAACACCCTTAAATTCGGGATTATATAATCCCTCGTACGCCCAGCGTACGAGGCCGAAGCTTCGCGACCAACTACTAACTACGCCCAGGGTACGCCAAGGTATGCCTCGCGTAAGGGCCCTCACATGAGTACGCCCTGCATACTTCCCATGCATGCCCTGCGTACTAGGGTTTTTCCCAAAAACCTTAAATTCTTCTAAAGGCCATAACTTCTTCATTCTAAATCCGATTCTGACGATCCTTATATCTGTGAAAAGGTAACGAGAATCTCTACTCTTTAATCATCTCATGATGGCCTTAAAACTTCCCGAATAAAAATCCAACTTCCATAAAATCCCAAACTGACACTTTACTAAAATACCCCTTGGCTCTAAAACACAAACCGAACACCCAGCTAATCTAAATTACGTCACCCACACCTAAATGGGAACGATTCGGGACAAGGTGTTACAGTTTACGTCAAAAATATTCGGTGAATATTGCATAACATTGGGCATTGATCTTGAACACCCTGTTGCGTATGTTCTTTCACAAAATGGTCTTGAAGAAGCATTTATTAAACGGATACAAATAATTGCGAGAACTTTGGTTATGCGCACCAAACTTCCCATTTCTGCATAGGGTTACGCAATATTGCAAGCAGTTGCATTGGTCTGTCTGAGGCCCATGTCCACCCAACCACTTTCTATGTACCAGCTGGTAACTAGATATGAGCCTGACATCTCGCATTTATGCATATTTGGATGTTTACTCAATGTTCCAATTGAACCTTAAAAGCGTTCAAAATTTGTACATCATAAACGACAAAGAATATATGTTGGTTATGAATCCCCGTCCATTATATCTTATTTAGAGCCATTGGCAGACGATCTCTTTAACGCTAGACATGTGGATTGTGACTTTGATGAGACAATCTTCCCGTCGTTAAGGGGAGTGTAACCTCCAAATCAGGTAACCATTTTTTATTCCTTTACATGAGTTAGTTTTGCAAAAATGACCCCTTCTTGTACACTGGGTGTACTTAAGTGTATGCTTAGCGTACTATGGAGGAAGGATCGTGAAGGAATATCGAGTATGCGGGGCGTACGTGAAAGTACGATGGGCGTATGCAATGGACAACCAAACCCTAATTTCTGTACTTGAGGCATATTTAAGCATCCTTAATTCATTGAGGCTTAACCCTAGCCAGCCTCTATAGCCTCATTTTGTCCCTTAACCTTAGATTATCTCGTGAGTGTGATTCTTGAGCTTAAAAGTGTGTTGGTGGCCATTTTAGAGATCATTCAAGAAGGAGAAGGTAGTGATCAAGCTTTGTGTGGCATTGAGCTTCAAGATCCTGCATCTAGTTCATCTTGAGGAGCTTGTGGAGGTATAAAGTCTTAATCTTGTCATCTTACTCATTAGATTGAGTTAGGGTTTGCTATATTGTCCCCTTTTGAGTTCATAAGTCACCTCTTCGGAGTTTGAGCAACTCTAGAGCTTAGGAAGAGTAGATCTAAGGTCCTTTAGCGTGTTCATATCATAAAAATACAAACTTATTGGTTGTTTTGACCTCATGCATGAGTTAAGACCCTTGGAAAGGTCTTAATAGGTTATAAAGGGTTGTTGGGAGCATATAGAGCATGCAAAGGCATAAAGTTGCCAACTTTATGCCTTGGGACTCTTCAAACAACCTAGATCTGAGTTTGGGACGTAAAGTCTTCATGCATTAAGCACTTAATGAAGAATATGCATAACCCATTAATACGCCATGCGTAACAAGTTGTACGTTGCACGTATAGCGGCATAGTCAGTACGCTGAGCGTACTAGAGTGGTACACAGGGTGTACGCACTCTAATTGGGTTGGGGCTTTTTATGGGCTTGATGGTTTAGTGGGCTTTAGTCAGTATTGAGCCTGGTCCCATTTAGAGTTGTGGGCTAATATTCTGAATTGAGGCATGTGGCCCATTAATAGATTTAGTCATGGTCCTTGGGCCCATTAGCAAAGGGAAGACTATTGTAACACCGAAAATTTAAAACCAATTTTTCATTTTTTTATAAAACATAATTCCATTAATATTTATAAAAACAACCATTTAATTGTTCAACAAAACAGTACAAAATCCCAAGATCGACATGTCAAACTCCAAACGTGTGTGTACGGATCAAGCCGGCGCCTTCCCGCGGTCGTCACTAGTACCTGAAACAAATAACATCAACACTGTAAGCACAAGGCTTAGTGAGTTCCCCAAAATACCACATATAACACGTATTTGCCACTCTAGGCTATAACTCTGTGGGTCCGTGCACCCAAACTCTGTGAACCCTCAGGTTCTAACTCTGATAAACATGCACCACATAAATCACATAGAAATCATGCAGTACAACACATAACATACATAGCATACAAATACTCTATCACATAGCTCTGGTTACCTACTCAAGGTAAGGTATAGTGAGAAGACTCACCTCGCGTGTTTCGGTAAATCGTAACCCTGAAATCGCTAACACTCGATCCGCCGAGCTGTAGTCCCCCTATAGCACAATACATCTCTAATTAACACTTTCCCAACTAGGGTTGACCACGCTATAACAAGTCACTCTTGGTCAACGCTGGTCAACGGTCAATGGTCAACTTTGACCGGACTCGGCGAGTGCACTATGGCGACTCGGCGAGTCTGTGCGCATGCACCAATTTCCCTGGAACCCTCCCTCGATACGTCGAGCATTTCCCCCAACTCGACGAGCTCCACCTGGCACGAGTGGTGGGGCCACCACGACTCAACTCGCCGAGTCTCAAGAACAACTCGGCGAGTCCAGTTTGACTCGGTCCACCTGTCCTTCCTGTCTCCCCCTTGACTCACTGAGTTCACCTTTCCCAACTCGGCGAGGCCACTCGCTGAGTGGTCGGGCAACATTCATGCTACTCGCCGAGTCTGTTCTTCGGACTCGGCGAGTCCGTGCCATGCACTGACTCAATCTTGCTCTAAAGGTCAGATCCAGTCCATTAATCATAGATCCAGTCCCTCCATGCTTATTTAGCACGTAAAGTCACAATCTTGATGCATAAATAACCTCTACATGATCACAAATGATGTTTTTGACTCAAATACTTCAACACAAGGTCAAGGGCTCCATTTCCACCCATAAAGCTTGATGAGTGAGGCCCTCTGGACCTCTATGGATCCAGATCCATGGTCTCAACTCAAAGAGGGAACCAAAGGGGCACCAAATCACCCCATAAATGACCACATTAAACCCTAAATTGCATCAAGCTTCACCAAACAGAGAATGGTCCGAAAATAATACCTCTAGAGTGATGATCCAAGCTCCAAATCCACGAAATAGCAACCTCCTTTGCTTCCTCTTGCCTAGGGCCTCCTTCTTCTTGCTAAACAACACACCCAAGATCAAGATTGGCTCTCTTCCCTTCACAAAACGCTCAAGAACTCTAGGGACACTCTCTGGGGGTTGGATGAGCACAAATGACGGCCATAAGGCCCTTTAAATAGGCCTCAAACCCGGAGATTTAGGGTTTCATTACACAGCGCAGACTCGCCGAGTCCATACCCTGGACTCGCCGAGTCCAAGCGCGCACCAGTGATCAATTCCGCGTCCCTACTCGGCGAGTCTGAGCCCCAACTCGCCGAGTCCTTCTCACAATATAACAAAATTTAAACTTACAAGATACCTGGTAAAATCCGGATGTTACAACTATTGGGTCATTATGGAAGGACTTGGGCTTAGGTGTATGGACTCTTTAAGTAGATTGTGTTTAATCCTAATTTAGGGTTAATTGTATTATTTTTCAGTGCGTGTGGTTTCAGACTGTTAAGCGAGCGACTTTCGTGTTCAACAGACTGAGGTGAGTCTCCTCACCATACCAATGGGTCGAAGGCGCCAAGGTCGGTCCATGTTTGTTATGCAGTTGTTGTGGTTATATATGGATGTGTTAGTATTGTATTATGTTTTTATGTAAAGACCATGGGGGGAGCCCATGGCAAGTAGTTAAGACCTTGGGAGGAGCCCATGGCACATAGATATAACACCCTGGGGGAGCCCACGACATCCTGGAGTAAGACCATGGAGGGAGTCGATAGCATCCCTATATGTTTGTATGCATGGTTTATGATGGTTATATGGACTTATGTGATTTTGTGGATTTATGTGGGGTATGTTATGTGGAACTCGCTAAGCATTAGCTTACAGTTTGTGGATGGTTTCAAGTACTTCGGGATCTAAGGGCAAGGACTCGGCATAATGACGTTGCACGCACTCTCCAGTACTTTATTATGGGCACTCTGATTTTGGAATAATTGCATGTTGTTTGGGATTTTGAGAAACAATTGTGTTTAAAATTTATAATTTATGAAGATGGGTATTTTTATTTAAATGAAAATTTTTATTTGAAAATTTGGGTCGATACAGGGAGATTTGCAGGTTAATGTTGATGAAGAATGACATGAAATAACGTGGCAGGTACCTAGTATGTCTCATATGGATCCCCCAACTGCACATGATGATAAGGAAGTGCAATGAATACTAAGTCTACAAAATGTTGCTAATCAGCTACCAGATACATTTAATGACTTAGCAAATGTCACGAGATCAAATATACCTTATGCAAATATGCTTGCAAGGATAGACGTCCCTGTGAAATGGCATGTTCTATTTGAACATGTTGCACCGGTCGTACCTATCATGCAAAGGACATAACATCGACTGTCCAGTCCGCTGCTCTTACCAAGTAATGAGGAAGATCAGTCGGTTCCAAGGATGTTCTGCCTCGAAAAAGGATAAATCATGTTGCATCCGTTTTGCCACATGAGATCATTAAGGATCATGGGAGTGTATTAGAGGAGAGCGTTCCCGATGGAACACCAATTCCTCATCGTCCCGATAATCTTGAAATATTTGTCAAGTATACTATCTTAGACGATATTTTGAAGTGAAGCGAGACTGTCATCGATGATGTGTTCATATACGCTGTTGCCACTGACATTATGAGCAATGATGACATGGAAACACGTACTATTGTCGAGAGTCAATGTAGAATGGACTCGCCTCAATGGAAACAAACATTCCAGGTAGAATTGAATTCCTTAGCGAAAAGAAGAGTGTTCGGATCTGTTGCTCCAACACCACCCAATGTTAAACCAATTGGTTATAAATGGATATTCGTAAGGAAGCGTAATGAGAATAATGAGATTATAAGATTCAAAGCTTGCCTCGTGGCACAAGGCTTCTCCAAACGCCCTGGAGTTGATTACGAAGAGACATATTCTCCCGTAATGGACGTTAGAACGTTCTGCTACTTAATCAGTTTAGTAGTTTCCGAGAAACTGAATATGCAACTCATGGACGTGGTCACAACCTATCTATATAGGGATCTAGACATAGAGATATACATGAAACTCCTTGATGGACTTAAGTTGTCTGAATCAAGTAGTTCCAGACCACAGAACACGTTGTCGATAAGACTGAGACGTTCATGTTGTGGATTGAAACAATTGGGCAGATGTGGTATAAACGTCTAAGTGAGTACTTGATCAAGGTATGATATTTGAATAACGAGATATGTCCATACATTTTTAAAAAATCCACTTCATGATATGCGATTATCGCAGTCTATGTTAAATCTCATAGGAACCTTAAAAGAGTTGTTCAAAACTGTTGAAATCCTGAAGAAAGAATTCAAGATGAAAGATCTTGGAAAGACACGGTATTGTCTCGGCATGTAGATCGAGCATCATAAAGATAGGATTTTCCTCCATCAAAGAAACTACACCCAAAAGGTGTTGAGACACTTTAGTCATCATGACGTGAAGCCATCATCTACTCCCATGTCGTTCGTTCTCTAGACATTAAAAAGGACGAATTTCGTCCAAATGAGAACGATGAAGAGATATTAAGCCCCAAGTGTTCATATCTAGGTGTAATAGGCACATTATTGTACTTAGCCTAATGTACTAGAGTGGACGTCTCTTTTGCTGTGAATTGTCTTTCTCGACATAGTAATACGCCAACACGCCGCCATTGGAATGGTATTAAAGACATATTTTGTTGTCTTAAAGGTACTACGTATGTGGGTTTATTTTATCCCTACTCGTCATCCAATGTATCAAGTCCAAATGATGCTCGAGACAACGCAACCCTTGTCGGCTATGCTGATGCATGTTACTTATCAGACCCACATAAGGGACGTTCCCAATCTGGTTATTTCTTTACCATCAGAAATACGACGATATCCTAGAGATCTTGTAAACAGACTCTAGTTGCTACTTAAACAAATCTCTCTAAACTACTCGCGCTTTATGAGGCGACTAGAGAGTGTGTATGGCTTTGAGCTATAATTAGCCATGTTCGAAGTACATGTGATTTGGCTTATGATCCTAATGAACCAGTTGTCATATATGAAGATAACACTGGTGTTATTAATCAAGCGAAACATGGTTACATCAAAGGGGATAACACTAAACACATCTTGTCGGAATTGTTCTTTAGACATGCACACAAGCATTTCAAAATATTGAAGTGCAACATATCAAATCGGATAAGAATCATGCAGACTTGTTCACCAACTCACTGCCAAAGTATTCTTTCCAAAAATATGTCAAAGCTATTGGACTTAGGAAGCTCTCTGAGCTACCTAAATGATATGTATCATGCACCCAGTTGTGTGTAAATAAGACTTGTATCATCACATATGTTTTGCACCCTGTTGAGTGTATATGAGGGGGAGCATCCTGATGAATGCTTGTGTACTTTTTTCCTTTCGCTCAAGGGTTTTGTACAATGGGGTTTACCTTGACAATGTTTTGTTTTATTGAGACACTAATTGTATCCCGTTCCCACGTATAGTTTCTGGAGTCGGGGGGAGTAGTGAATACTTATTAACCATTGTGCACTCTTTTATCATTCATTAGAGTTTTATTCTTACTGGGTTTTCTCTAAACAAGGTTTTAATAAGGCATATCATGTTTTCTCTAAACATGTTTTAATAAGGCACATCATATATATGGTTCCTTCCCTCGCTTAAGACATCCAATTCGTACTCTTTTGTCCTTCGACCAGAGTTTTAGTCCCAAAGGGTTTTCTCCGACATGGTTTTTAATGAGGTGAACATCTAATGGATTGTTTGAAAATACAAGATGAAGAAGTACATCAATGATAACATAAATCTAAGCAACCAAGGGGGAGTGTTGTAACTCATTTATAAGGATAATGATTGCTCATTTATGTTGGTAGTGATTGCTCATATTTATTTTATTCATAAGTAGTATTCATGTACTTAGAGGTTACAACCTTTGGTCACCCACTCATTGTCGTATATAAAGGGTTGTCATGTACTTTTATTTTTTTAAGAGAACACACATTCACATTGTCTAATGGTAATCTTTGCATGATTATTAAACTGTTTTGTTAGATTCTTTTTGAATAATGTTTCATATTTCCTGTCTTTAATTCTAGATTTGATCTGGAGATATAGGAGATCTTTGATAAATTTGATTACATTGTCAATCATCTTATGAAGTTCACAAAATGCTTTTGAAAATAAAAACGTCAATTGCATAATACATTCAAACAATATGGTGTTAGATTTCAACAATACCTATTGTTATCCACCCTTTTGAGATAGAAAATTCAAACCTCAACTTGCACATAAACAAAATTAAAAGTAGTCTTGATTTGAAAGACATGAATAGTAGTAACTAAGACTTCAAGCATCACCGTTTTAACATGTTTAGATAGAACTTTGTGTTAACTCCAATCAATAAACAACATTTAGCTAAATTACAGAGGTTGAAGGGTTGTCCAAACGATCATTGTTCAAGGTATGATATATATACCCACATCACTAGTAATCATAATCTGAATCGCAGTAAAAGATGATCCTAATGTTTGAATGTTTTAATTCTTTTGAGTTTACATCATCTCATTTCAAACAGTATATTTTCCAAAAGAATGGCGAATTGGTCAAATCCTTATAGAGTGAAAGGCAAATTGGTCAAGTCCTTATAGACTTTCCGAATGTCCAAAAGTTTCTCATGTTAATATGGACGCATATATAGGTCTTCTTTTTCATTTTAAAATAGTCAGTTTCTCATGTTAATATGGACGCATATATAGATTTTCTTTTTTCATTATAAAATAGTCGTATATTAAGAAAAATGAGTGATTTGGTGGCAAAACAAAAACAAAAACAAAAAAAAAAAAACAATCGTCTCTATAATGATATGTACATCATATACAACACACAACTACTTTGTATACCTTTTGTATCTAGACAGACTATATCATTTTAGCTGTTATGAAAGTAATAAAATAAGTATTCAATTTAAATATGAGAGAGAGAGAGAGAGAGAGAGAGAGAGAGAGAGAGAGGAGATGCAAGTGTAATACACATGATAGGAACGGTACATATGTCGGTGAGACAAAATTTGTAATTTATTTGTCCCGACCAAAAGGTATAGGACAAGGACTCACCTTTGATCTGTCATTTGTGAAAAAGACAACGCCCTTCTCATCCTTATCATCAAAAATAGTCTATGTTTGTCATACAAGACCTAACAGACTAGACTGACGACTGACTTTCTAGGATAAGAATGAGAAAGGGCATTGACGTCTTTTGCCATTACGACAGATCAAAAGCAACCTCCCTGTCCCACCTTTTGCTGCCAATTTTTAATTTTTATCCCACTAACATCAGTCAGTCAGTCAGTCAAACACAGTACAAATGAAATCCTGTCCTGTCAAGCACACATCACATGACTCCCAAAGTCCACATCATCAGGACAAAGTCTCATCATAATGTTGAATTCTAGGCAAGAAAAGTCCCCAATATTTTTTTTTTAAATCATAAGTCATAACAATTAAGTCTGGTCAACATTCTAAAAAGTCAACAACATGATCTGATCAGGTGGTCTTTAAAAAGGTCTGGTAGTAACTCAAATATGCCCCAAAACTAAAACTAGTGTCCATACTGCTGAGAAGTCTGGGTGGTGGTGTAATGGCCTTGCTGAGGGGGGTAGGTTGGGACAGTGGCGGCAGGGGCGGTGGTCATGGTGGCAGGGGCGGTGGTCGTGGTGGTGTAATATGATGTGTGTGCAGAAGAGTAGGGATCTTGCTGGGTACCATAGTTTTCAGCATAAGTAACCTGAACAGGATGGGTTTGTCCGCCTGCAGCCCCACCGTATGCTTGGTACACATCCACCACACCATGTGTGGCTGCAACTGCAACTGTTTGTGCATACGGATCTTGACTGTTCACCATTGTTCCTGCAACCTATATATATTTTTTACAATTTACAACAATTCATGACTTCAAGTTGGAAAATTACTAAATTACCCCTGATTAAGAAACTAACTAACTAACCGACCTCACTAGGGTTGTGAACTCCAGGGGGACCCGGAACCGAAGCTTGCCCACTGTTTGCCACATTCATATCAACACCACTTGGATATCTGATTTAAAATAAAATTAAATATATATTAATGTGAAACAGAGTATAGGAATATGGAAAATGAAAAATGACTAAAATACCCTGGTGCGTGTGAAGGAACTGGATAAGCATGGGTTGCATATTCCACTGGAGGGGCATGATAACTATGAGGTTGATACTCTCTTGGAGGAGGAGGAGGAGCAAGGTAACTAGGTGGAGGATGTTGATGTTGATGTTGATGTTGATGCTGATGTGGATTATATTCGCGCTTCATGAAAACATAAATAAATATTTAGTTATTAAAATTAATAAATTCCCATTTCCCAATTTTAAATTTTACCTTAAAAGGTTCATAACGACCACCTCGTGGGACCACCTCTGTTACAGGTTTTGTATCTCTAAGATATCTTGCCCTAAATCTTGATGCAATCTCAGCCAAAGCTTCTTTCGCAACACCGTAACTCCCCGAAACCTAAAAGGGTATTTACGGAAATTGTAAAAGATCCAAAAGGGTGTTTCAGGAAAGTGAAAAAACCAAAAGGGTATTTCTGGAAACTGAGATATGGTTATGACCTGAACAAGCTCTTCATTTTCAGCAGCACACTTTGGTTTGTCTTCTTTAGGATAGACACGGATATCTGCTTTAATTCTTCTCCTCATTTCATTGATTATCATGCCACCTTGGCCAAGAATACAGCCTACTTTACTAGAAGGAATTAAAACACGTGTTGTAATTATTCCCTTTTCATCATGCTCACTTGTTTTATCTTGTAAAAGAAGAATCGCATCAATTGTTCTTGACCTTGGTTTCTGTAAAGCCTGAGAAACATTTTCAAATATTAACCAATAATTAACATAAATTTCCTGTTTTTTTTTCTAATTTTGGTCCCAAAAACTGCTCTTGTAAAACTTTGCTCCTTATTTGATTGAGGTTCTTGCAATGCTTTTTGTCCCTATTCCAAATGACTATTTGGTCCCTGAGTATAGTTGATTTTTGCAACTGTGATCCCAAGATAGTCTTTCTAACTTTCTACCCAAAATGTTACAAAACCCTCAAAATTTTGCAAAAGAAAACTTTTTGGGACAAAAAAGGTAGTCAAAAATTTTGTCAACTGCGAAAACACTATTTTCTTTGTGGATTTGGTCCCTAAAATGACTATATTGCCCTTCATATTATATTTCTTAAAAAAATTTATGTCGTTTAGTTTATTTGTTTACTATTACTTATAAAATAAGAATCAAAACTGAAAGAATTAAAAATACTAACATCAAAAGAAGAAACAACAATGACTCTTTCATCTGAGCCTAGAAGCGGATCCTCCACATGGATACTTGTACCCGTTTCTTGCTGAAACTGTCTTAAACTGATCCCATTTCTCCCAATCACTCCATGAATTCTTGCTTCAGAGCAAAGAATTTTCATTGGGAACTCAATTGGTGTCTCTTCAATTTGAACAGGATCAATGGCCGGAGGCCCATATCGTGGTGGCTCCCGCCATGGAAGTGGCGGTGCACCGTACGTGTATGGCCCACGTTCAGGCGGCGGTGGTGCACCGGGCTGAAAGGCCCGTGGGGGGCCCACGGGTCGACTGTTTGATGGTGGTTCATCTTTTCGTGGATTTTGATGTAATAATGTTGAGACTTTAGCAAGTGCTTTTCTTGTAACATCTGGTGTACCTGATATCTGCAAAATAGTATTATTATATGTCAGAGAAAATACTAAAATGCCCTTATGTAGTCTGGAAAAGAGATTTTCAAGGGAAAAATGAAAGTAGGATGAAAAAGAAAGAGGTATATAATAATGATCAATACATTATTTTCAAGAGGAATGAAAGTAATACAGAAATAAATAAAAGTAGATTACCTGCAACAACTCATCAGTCTCCATAGCACAAGTAGGAAGCTGCTCTGCAGGCAAAAGACGAATAACAGCACCAGTCTCACCTCTTAATCTCTTAATAACTTCACCTCCTTTCCCCAAAAGACACCCAACTGTGTTATTTGGAACAAGCATTCGACAAAACACCACACTTTCCTCATCATCAAAAATATCTTCCTCAACAATCCTATCATGAACTTTTACAAGAGCATCTTGAGCTGCACAATGCAGCTCCAAATCATTATCATCATCATCGTCATTTTTTACTACTGGAGCTTTTGCAGAAGGGCTGTAGATTATGATTACTCTTTCTTCTGAACCAATGACAGATTCCGCAACTGTAATTTTAGCTTGGGTTTCTTCGCGTAAGGCTTTCACTACAGTGCCACCTTTTCCGATTACGCTGCCGATTCTTCTGGATTGGCATAGGATTCGGTAGACTGTTTCTGAAACATGAGAGCTTTCTGAAGATTCTTCGTCATCAAATTTCCCTCTTTTGTTGCCACCCTTGTTGAAGCGAGGGTTTGGGCGTTTCTTGAAGGGGGATCCTCTGCCTCTTTCCATTTGCCCACAAAACCTACAACTGAAAAACCTGATAGTCACTACATCGACATTGTAAAAAAGGGTAACAAATAGCAATTCAGATTTCAGAAACTAATCAAACTATCGTAGCAATTTAGAAACAGTAACAGGCTAATAGCAATTCATAAACAATCAACAAGAACTCAGAATACGGAAACAAGCTATAACTGATTTACAATTCAGAATTCAGAAACAATCAGCAAGAACTCAGAATCAAGAAAGAAACAGAAATGATGATAGGCAGAGAGATAAACCGATGATATGTAGAGTCGCAGAATTCGACAATTAGAAAGAGTGATGAAATTAATTGAGGAACAATGCTGAAATTGAATAAGGATCGATGCTTAGTCAGACATCTCGAGCCTTATGCAGTGAACCACAAGATCATCGACGCTGAAACAGGGGTTCATTCGGTTGATTGAGATCATCGATGCTGAAATCGATTGAGAGATGCGGTTGTGATTGAGAGCCGGTGTTTTAGGGTTAAAAAGGTTTTTTTTTTTTTTTTGTTAAGAATACAAAATGAAGAGTAAATTACACGAATGGTCCCTATGGTTTGGGGTAATTTATGTGTTTGATCCCTAACTTATTTTTTTAACTCGGAAGGTCCTTATGATTTGTTTTTGTTACGCGTTTGATCTCTACTGTTTATTTTTGTTACGAGTTTGGTCCCTATCTTATCTAAAAAGACTATTATTTAAAGAGAAAAAATAATGGGGTAGATGAGGTAAGGTGAGGGGGTGGGATTAGGGGAGTGTTTATTTAAATAAATTAAAAAGATCAAGGGCATAATAGTCTTTTTAAGTAAGATAGGAACCAAACGCGTAATAAAAACAAACAGTAGAGACCTTCCGAATTAAAAAAATAAGTTAATGACCAAACGCGCAAATTACCCTAAACCATAGGGACCATTCGTGTAATTTACTCTAAAATGAATCTATTCATTTAACCCATTAAAAGCCCAAGTCGCTAATAAAACCAATTAAATGCCCTTTTTTTGATTATTTAAAATGATTTATATTTATTTATAAAATAATATAACTATATAAAATGTTTATATTAGTTTATCCAGTTAGAAAAACATAATATAATAAATTAATAAATTGTTTTTTTAGTATTTGACAAATTTTGTTTATAAACATAAAAATACCAAAATGACAAAAAAAAAAAAAAAAAAAAAGAACATCTTATACATTATTGGTTTTTTGTTGTAAATCATAACCAATTGACACGTAATGAAATCGACAAATAATAATGAGAATTATATGTCGATTCGTTGCGAATAATAGATCCAATTATAATTAATTTGATTACCAAGTTTCGTCCAGAAACCAGAATAATTCTTCTCGATTAGATCTGATTATAAATAAGATAGAATGAGAGTGTTATGTTATTGAGTGAATTAAAAAACAAGACAATAATATAAAACTGATATGTTGATGAGTGATCTTGAACACGGAATACTGCACGGATATGACTCTTGTCATTTGAGGTTTTTACTTTGCTTCTATCGGTTGTAAGCAACAAAGTAAAAAATCAGGATTTAATGCAGATTTACCGAGTTTCCAACAGCAATGAAAAACGATAAACGCAAAGTAAATACTGAGAAACTGATAGAAATTGTAGAGAGAAAGAGAGAGAGAGAGAGAGCTTCGAAATTCGTGCATGAAATATGAGTCCTAAAGAGTTGTATTTATATGTATCGAAACCCTAGAAGGAAATAAAGAAGTCCTCCTAGGTCGGCCCCTTAGAAACCCTAGGGCGACGACTTATGCTCCAAGATAGCCGTTTTCTAAGCCTTCTAGAATATTTTGTTGTCATATCCACGACCGATTTGACCCAAACTTCGCTAAAAATAGAAGTTCCTCAACTCCAAACGACCGATGTGTCGTGCCAAGTGCATATAAATCGCACCATTTTGCACACTCAAGTGTCGGATAGTACTAGGTTGGGCTAGCCGTGCGTGTGTCAACTTTGCACATTCTTTTGATCCACTAAAGCTCTTAAATGTCTGTCAAAGAAAAAGACTTATAAATACATAAAATTTCTTCCCCCCCCCCCAATGTAGGATAAAGAAAAATAGCCAACTTACTATTATACATTCATAATTTCCAACATTTTTTTATTTGTTAAGATAATTTATTTTTTATCATTTATAATAATTAGATATAAAATAGAAAATTAATATCACTAACATTAAAAAGATTTTCAATTCTGATTAGGCTTAATATCTAGTTAGTATTTTATATTTTTGTATTTATATTGATTCTAATATGGTGAAGTGAACTTATCACTTCATTATAAATCAAGTTATCGCTTCATTACAAATCAAGTAAATATTTACATTATGGGAAAGGATTTATTGAAATGCGTGCATCTCATATAGATTTGAGAAGTCCCAACAAGCCAAACGATGAAAAAACAAAGCAAAAAGTGTCAAGAAATAAAATAAACCCCAATAATATATAGAGGACTAGATTAATATAGGTTAAGAGGGTGTTTGGTTTAGCTTTTAAAAACCAAAAGAGATTTTTTTGTAAAAGTTGGAAAAGTCAGGATTATGTGATTTTTCAAAAAGATACAATTTACTCTATTGAAAAAGTTGGAAAAGTCAAAATTACCAAACATTTTTTTGATTTTTAGAAAAAGATAAAGTAAAAAAGTCATTTTAAAAGTTATGTCAAACACCCTTTAAATATTTACTTTAACTTTTCTACTCAATTAAAGAGTTTGAAATAAGTGAAAAGAGATCAACTTATTTAAAAGCTTCTTATGTAAGAAAACGAGTGCATACTATAATTTTTATTTAGCCAAACACTAAAATATATTTATTCCCGATACCAAATTGATATAATCAAATAAGGAATATTTTAAATAAGCAATCTCAAACACCTCCTTAGTAAAAAAAACAAACAAACAAACAATGTATTGAGTGAAAAAAGCCCACACTTCGTGCCTTGCAACACATCTAGAAAAATGTATGCATCCCCCCACATCATGGAATTACATCGCCTCACGTACATGATGCATTTTCGGGAACGCCTCGCAACACAGCATGCATCATAAAACCTCAGAGGCGTTTTTTATGTATCATCTTCAAATTGGGCCTAGGAGCTTTGTCATTTTTAGTGAAAAAAAATAGTAAGTTTGAATAAATAATAAATTAATTAATACGTGACTAATAAGATAAATTCCAACCTTGAATAAAATAAGTGCTAGATTTAAAAAGTAAAGAAAAATAGATAAGAGATTAGTTTTGTCAAAAGAACAAACTTTAAAGACCAAGTGTTGACCTAGTCAATGACCAATTGGTTAAAAGAAAGTATATTTAAGGGTGAGAGTGTGAAAGAAAGAAGTTTCATAAGCAATTTGATCAAATGATAACATTTTTTAGAAAAAAAGAAAGTTAGAATGACCATATGTGTCAAGTGACCAAAGATTCAAACTAGTTAGGACATCCACAATTTATTGAATTCTATAGAGTTCAATAGATTGACACATCACTTTTTTACATTTCATACAAATCTATCAATTTTTTTTCTATAATGTATTGAACTCTACAAAGTTCAATATGAATTTACAAAAGTTATATATATATATATATATATATATATATATATATATATATATATATATATATATATATATAAGAATTAAAAATTTTGTTTTTTCTCATTAAAGAGTTCAATGACCATTGAACTCCAAATACATTGAATACCAATGTGGCATCTCACTATAGTAGAGTTTAATCTATTGACTGACAAATAGACTTGTCATCTCATTCAACTCTCTTATTAAACTCGTCATTGTGGATGCTCTCGTTTGCAAGAGGATAATGAATTTGAAGAGGGGAGCTCCCATGGGAGATTTTTGAGCTTGAGAGGAAAAGTTGGAGCTAATTGTTGAAGAAAAAACAAGATCTTGACGATAGGGACTTGTTAGCATATCCCTTTATGATTTTGTTAAAGATAACGAAATTGTTATCTTTAGGATGACCTAGTTAACGGTCGCTGACCGCCCTAGTGCCAGACGCAGGCCCAAACCCTCGCAGTTTCGCGTTAGGACCTTGGTACCTGGCGCTCTCGCCCCAAGTCCAATTCTAAACGATAATCTCCAATCTATAATAAGCCAAAACACATTTGGTCACTCCCAGAGCGACAAGTGTAGCGCTTAGCGGCCTAGACGGGACAAAGGATATTGTTTAGGATTATGCCCTAGGCATGACATGTATGAAAGGGATCCTTCATCTCTAGAGGAAGGTATCATATCTTCCCTAAAAAAACCCTAATCTCCATATACCCATATACACTCATACTAACTAGACCATCGAACTTTCGACCTCCTCCCAGACGTCGACTGACGTTGCTTCTTCATTGTTGTGATTTCAGGGTTTCACCCCTTCAGAATCTTCACAAGACGACGTTAAGTCCAGGGCATATATCACAATAATATATATTCGGGAACTTCATCATTATACTTTGAGGCTAGCTTGATGATGTTGGCGCTCATCTTAAGCACAACTTTCAAAACTATATGGAAATGTCTACGAATCGTATCCCCATGCTGACTAAAAAAAATCTTGCACAAATCTATTGGTACATCCATAAGCCATTTGTTTTCATAACACCGTCTAGGATGGTTATTTAATACTTCATTAATAAACATGTTCTCTGTGCGGTCGAACGTTGTTTTCTTTCATAGATTTTGCCCATTTTTAAGTTGTTTTCTTTCATTGATTTTGTAAGTTTTTTCCATCATGTGTTTTTGTAAATTCTCCCACCCAACTGAAACGACCCAAAAATACGACCCAAAAATCTCGTTTTTCAATATAATCAAAACCGTAATATGAGTATCACAACATAGAAAAACATACGCGATGCATCCCAAATCATAATAAAATACTGTGCGGAAAACTGTATCATACTGTATCAAATCCAAAACAACTAAAACCATCCCCAGGATAAAAGCTAAGCTGTGGTGTGTGCGATGCTATCACCCCGAGCTCTTCCCTTTGCTTGCGGAAGTACCTGAAACCAAAACTGAAACTGTAAGCACAAAGCTTAGTGAGCTCCCCCAAACTACCACATACCATACAATAACATATAAACACATATTGGGCCTCGCCCACTGCATCGGGCCGAAGCCCGGAAACTGCATCGGACCGAAGTCCGGAACTGACTGGGACCCTGTCCCCTGCATCGGACCGAAGTCCGGAACTAACTGCATCGGACCAAAGTCCGGAACTAACTGGGACCTTGTCCCCTGCATCGGACTGAAGTTCGGAACTAACTGCATCGGACCGAAGTCCGGAACTAACTGCATCGGACCAAAGTCCGGAACTAACTGCATCGGACCGAAGTCCGGAACCGACTGACTGAACTTGGCATAGCATAACACATCAACTAACATGAACACATATACGACATACTTCATCGGGCCGTAGCCTGGAACACATAACACTTAACGCATAAAACATAGCACACAATCCTGTTTGAGCCACGAAGGCATCAAACATACTAACTACTGCATCGGACCGAAGTCCGGAAACTTCTGCTAACTGAACGGGCCGGCATTGTGGCCTTAGACCCGTCCCTACTGGAAGGAAACTCACCTCGTAAGCTGGTTGCTGAGTGTGTGGCTCGGGAAGCTAACGGCTGCTGCTCCTGAATCTCCTCGGCTACAAGTCCATAAACACACTCAATCAAATACTAAACACTGCGCTTGGGGTAAAATGACTCTTTTACCCTTGGTCAAAGTCAACTCTCTTTTGGGCTGACTCGCCGAGTTGGGCTGCCCAACTCACCGAGTCCTACTCTCACTTCTCAGTTCTGCACGCTGCTACTCGTCGAGTGTGGCATCGACTCGACGAGTACCCTCTTGATCCAAGAACTCAGACAATCTTCATCCGACTCGTCGAGCCGTATGAACAAACTCGACGAGTTGTTCTTGATCTTTAAGAAGATTGCCTTGGACTCGCCGAGTCAAGGCATTGACTCGCCGAGTCCTAACATGGGTGAGTTCAGCTCCCAACTCACCGAGTCACCCCCTGTGGCTCACGGCTCAACTCGACACATCATGAAGGGACCAGCCCAGTGAGTCGCGACCAGACTCGTCGAGTCACATATACGACTCGCCGAGTCGCAGCCATGCATCCATCAAATACACCGATTTGCTCAATTCCAGTCCATGCCATTCACAGATCTGGGCTTCTAGGACACAAATCACACGTAAAGTTTCCAACTTTACGTGTAGATATTCACCAATATGGATTTTAAGGCTCAAAGTGCACCAAAAGAGGTAGATCTAGGGCTTTCATGCAATATGACCCCATAAAGGCATTAGATCCAAGTTCCAGGGACTAAATCATGCCTAGATCTAAAGGCTAACAACTTATTACAACCCACAAAGCACAAACAAGCTTGGGGAAGAGCCCAAGAAGGACTCCTATGAAGCTAAAAGAGATTACAAGCTTGAAAACAGGGGGGAAACGAGCTATACCTCAAGGAAAACGTTGGGATGACACAAAGATGCCTGGTCTCCTTCTCCTCTTCTTGATCTACTCTTCTTTCTCCTCAAAATCTTCAAGAACACTCCAAAAACACTTCAATCTCTCAAGGAAATAAGGGAAAAGCGAGGTTGGGAGTTCTGGGGGGTGAATGGGGACGAGGTTGGGCGGAATGAGGGTTTAAATAGGGTGCAAACCCTTGAAATTTAGGGTTTCATCCAACAGCGGTGACTCGCCGAGTCCGGGATATGGACTCGCCGAGTCGCCAACTTAAACGTGTCCTGAGTCTCGTCCCTACTCGGCGAGTCGGACCTTATGACTCGCCGAGTCCAAGGCTAAAATAGGGAAATGCTCAAATAAAATTCACATACCGGAAACCAAGTGCTACAAATCTCCCCCACTTATTTTAGACTTCGTCCTCGAAGTCTGCTGCTCGATCCTGAAACAGCTCGGGGTAATGCTCCATCATCTCGTCCATCGGTTCCCAAGTCCATTCCGAACCCTTGCGGTGCTGCCATTGCACCTTTACTAGTTCTACCCTCTTGTTTCTCAAAGCCTTTGACTTCCTGTCAAGTATTGCGACTGGGCGCTCAATGTAATTCAAGCTGTCATCAACCTGAATATCCTCCAACGGTACTACCGCTGAATCGTCCACCAGGCACTTCCGCAGCTGCGAAACATGGAAAGTGCTGTGGATCTGACTGAGCTCGGCTGGCAGATCCAGCCTATACGCCACCTTGCCCACCCGGGCTACAACCCTGAACGGCCCGATGAATCTTGGGCCCAACTTGCCCCGCTTCCTGAATCGAATGACACCTTTCCAAGGTGAGACTTTCAGAAGAACCATATCTCCCACCTGGAACTCCAAGTCCGAACGCCTCCTGTCGGCGTAGCTCTTCTGCCGACTCTGCGCAGTCTGCAGCCTACTACGGACCTGCTGGATCAACTCAGTCGTCTTGAGCACCACTTCGGTGCTCCCTATGACTCGCTGACCGACCTCGCCCCAACAAATCGGGGTCCTGCACTTCCTGCCATATAACATCTCAAAAGGAGGTCGATCAATGCTCGCATGATAACTGTTGTTATACGAGAATTCCGCTAACGGAAGATACGTATCCCAACTGCCCCCAAAATCTAGAACACATGCCCTAAGCATGTCCTCAAGAGTCTGAATCGTCCTCTCGCTCTGCCCGTCAGTCTGAGGGTGGAAAGCGGTGCTGAAATGGAGACGAGTACCCATCTCGTCGTGGAACCGCTTCCAGAATCTGGACGTGAAACGAACATCTCGGTCCGACACCACCGATACCGGCACTCCATGACGTGCCACAATCTCCCGCACATAGATATCGGCTAACTTTTCCGCCGATATACTCTCCTGAATCGGAATAAAATGAGCACTCTTCGTCAACCGATCCACTACTACCCATATCGAGTCCACTCCACGTGCGGTCCTGGGGAGTTTGGTGACAAAATCCATGGTGATATCCTCCCATTTCCACACGGGAATGTCTAACGGCTGCATCTTGCCGTGAGGTCTCTGGTGCTCCGCCTTGACCTTCCGGCAGGTCAAACATCTCTCAACATACCAAGCGACGTCCCGCTTCATGCAGGGCCACCAATAATCAGGTCGAAGATCTCGATACATCTTCGTCGCTCCTGGGTGGATAGAAAATCGAGACTTATGAGCCTCGTCCATCAATACTTGCCGTACCCCACCCCAGTACGGTACCCACACCCTACCATGAAGCGTCAACAAACCCCGACTGTCGTAATCAAATGAAGCTACTCGGCCCACTATCCTCTCACACTTCTGCCTCTCCTCCTTGAGGCCCTCCATCTGAGCCTCCTTGATCCGCTCCAACAACGGAGTGATCACTGTCATCCTCATACACAGATCTCTGATAGGGGCCGTCGACACCTTGCGGCTCAGGGCGTCGGCCACCACATTGGCCTTCCCTGGATGATAAAGGATCTCACAGTCATAGTCCTTCAGCACGTCCAACCATCTCCTCTGCCTCATGTTCAAACTCGGCTGATCCATAAGATATCGCAAACTCTTGTGATCCGTGTATATAGTACAGCGGACCCCATAAAGGTAATGTCTCCAAATCTTGAGGGCAAATACAACTGCCCCCAGCTCCAAGTCGTGGGTAGGATAATTAGCCTCGTGAGGCTTCAACTGTCTCGAGGCATAAGCTACCACATGGCCTCGCTGCATCAATACTGCTCCCATACCTGTGATCGAAGCATCACAATAGACTACGAAGTCCTCTACTCCCTCTGGCAAGGTAAGGATCGGAGCCTCGCACAATCTCTGTCTGAGAGTCTCGAACGCCGCCTGCTGCTCAGGCCCCCAACGAAAAACCACCGACTTCTTGGTTAGTCGGGTGAGCGGCACTGCTATCTTGGAGAAGTCCTGAATAAATCTCCGATAATACCCTGCCAGCCCTAGGAAGCTCCGAATCTCAGATGGAGACCTCGGGACCTCCCACTGCATCACGGCCTCAATCTTGGCCGGATCTACCAAAATACCCTTCTGGTTGACGAGATGACCAAGAAACTGCACCTCGCGCAACCAGAACTCACACTTGGAGAACTTTGCGAAAAGTCTCTCCCTCCTCAAAGTCTCCAACACCTCCCGCAGGTGCTCCTCGTGCTGCCCCTGTGTCTTGGAATATACCAAGATGTCATCTATGAATACTATCACCGACCGATCCAGCATCGGTCTGCACACGCGGTTCATGAGATCCATGAACGCGGCTGGGGCATTGGTGAGCCCAAATGGCATCACCACGAACTCATAATGACCATACCGGGTCCTGAAAGCAGTCTTCTGTACATCCTCATCTCTAACCCTCATCTGATGATA